GTTGATCAAGTTCAAACAATGTTGAAACTTGATAGCAGTCACTACTTTTGTTAGCATATCGGCATGGTTGTCTGTAGTTCTAATTTTCTGCACCATGACTCCACTTTCTTCTATAATATCTCGTACAAAGTGATATCGAACATCAATGTGCTTCGTCCTTAAATGATAAACTTGGTTATTGCTAATTGGATAACATTATGACTATCAAAAAATAGTGTGATGTTTTCTTGACCAATACCAAGCTCTTTAAGCAACCCTTGAAGCCAAATTGCCTATTTTACAACCTCCGTAATTGCCATGTACTCTGTCTCAGTAGTAGACAAAGCAACCGTTGACTGCAAAGTATACTTTCAACTAGTTGGTGCATTTGCAAAAGTGAAAATATAACCAGTAGTTGATCTACGCTTGTCCAAATCACCCGCATAATCCGAGTCAAAATATCCAGCCAGATTCTGACTATCTTCCTGCTCAAAAATCAATCCAACATCTACAGTATTGCGAATATACCGTAGAATCCATTTCACAGCTTGCCAATGCTCCTTTCCTGGATCATGCATATACCTGCTTACAACTCCGATAGCATGTGAAATATCAGGTTTTGTGCAAACCATTTCATACATCAAGCTACCAACGACATTCGCATATGGCACTCTTGACATATACTCTCGTTCAACTTCATTCTTCGTCGACATAGCAACACTAAGCTTAAAGTGAGGAGCAAGAGGAGTGCTAACCGACTTCGTGTTCTCATTCATGCCAAATCGATCTATTACTCTCTTTAAGTATTCTTTCTGAGATAGATAGAGTTTCTTTGAAATTCTATCTATTTTTATCTCCATGCCAAGAGTTTTCTTCGCCTCACCCAAATCCTTCATCTCAAACTCCTTTCTTAGTTGAATCTTCAACTTCTCAATTTCCCCTTGACTTTTGGAAGCTATCAACATATCATCAATGTATAGGAGAAGATATATGAATGATCCGTCTTCAAACTTGTGCAAATACATACAATGATCATATTTGCTTTTCTGCACTTCAGCTGCAACATAAACTTGTCAAATCATTTGTACCATTGTCTAGAAGATTATTTCAATACGTACAACGATTTTTCAAGTTTGCACACCATATTTTCCTTTTCAGCAACTTTGAATCCATCTGGCTGAGTCATATAGATTTTCTCTTCCAAGTCTTTATGTAAAAATGCAGCTTTTACATCTAACTGAACTAGTTCCAAATTCAACTGTGTCACCAAAGCCAACAAAACTCTAATGGAGGAGTGTTTCACGACTGGAGAAAATACCTCATTGTAATCAATTCCCTCCTTTTGAGCATACCCTTTGGCCACCAATCTTGCTTTGTAGCAAACATCTTCTTGGTTAGGAAATCCTTCTTTTTTTGCAAATACCTATTTGCACCCAATTGCTTTATTGCCCTTCGGGAGATTGGCCAATTTCTATATGCAATTCTGATGAAGGGACTGCATTTCTTCATTCATGGCAATCCTCCACTTATCTTCTTCTGAACTTTGGACTGCATCTTTATAAGTGGTACGAACACCACCAGCTACAATTGAGGTTGCACAAGCCACCGTCTCTATGAGACGAACATGTTTCTTTATTATTCTTTTTGGCTTGCTGGTTGCTATTGATTCAAGTTATTGTTGGGGTTGCTGAGTTGGAATATCCCCTTCCACTAACTCTTCTTCTAGGGAAAAATCTTCTATTGTTTCCTCGTTTTCTCCCTGTGTTGGAAAAATTAAATTTTCCCTCAAACTCCACCTGCTTTGAAGCACCATCAATTTGTTTGACATCTTCAACTGCCACTTTATCTATTATGGAAGATTCATCAAAGGTAACATCTCTGCTGAATATAATTTTTCTTGTCTCTGGACACCATAATCGGTATCCTTTGACTCCAGAAGTAATCCCCATAAATATAGCTTTCTTTGCCCTCGGATCCAATTTTGACTCTTTCACATGATAGTATGCAATTGAGCCAAACACATGCAAAAAATTATAATCTTCATCAGGTTTTCCATACCATTTTTTAAATGGTGTCTTGCCTCCAATAGCAGCAGATGGTAGACGATTAATGAGGTAGCATGCATATGTTATTGGCTCAGCCCAAAATTCTTTGCCCAAGCCAGCATTGGACAACATACATCGAACCTTCTCCAGCAAAGTCCGGTTCATGTGTTCTGCCACTCCATTCTGTTGTGGTATATTTCTGACGGTGAAATGTCTCAAAATGCCATCATCTTCACAAATCTTATTGTAAAGATCATTTTTGTATTCTCCACCGTTATCTGTGCGAAGACACTTTATCTTTCTGCCTGTTTGAGTCTCTATCACCACCTTCCATTTGAGAAATATTTCCAGTACCTCATCTTTGATTTTCATAGTATACACCTATACTCTCCGGGAAAAGTCATCAATAAAGGTTACAAAATCGTATTTCCCACCTAATGAAGATATTTTGGAAGCACCCCAAACATTAGAGTGAACATAATCCAAAATACCTTTAGTATTATGAATTACTGTTCCAAATTTAACCCTTGTCTGTTTCCCCTTGACACAATGCTTACAAAACTCCAAATTTCAAGTCTCTACTCCTTTTAACAATCCTTGATCTGATAAAATCTTCAAGGATTTTTCTCCAGCATGTCCCAAGCGCATGTGCCATAGCTTGGTTGCTTCTGCCTCCTTGCCATCACTGGATGTCACTGTTGCTGTCCCAATAACTGTACTACCGTGATAGTGGTACATGTTATTATTTCGCCGAATTCCCTTCATTACTACTAGTGCACCAGAGCATATTCTCATTATCCCATTTTCTGCAACAACTTTGAGCCCCTTTGACTCTAGGGCTCCTATGTAAATGAGATTTTTTTTCAATTCCGGTACGTATCGAACATATGTTAATGTTCTGATCAATGCATCATGGTTCCTTAATCGGATTGAACCAATACCATATGCAGTAAGAGGATTGTTATTCGCGGTGTGAATAACTCCACATTCTCCTTCTTGAAAATTAATGAACCAGTCCCTGTTGGGACACATATGATAGCTACAAGCTGAATCCATCAGCCATATGTCATATGGTTTGAATGGCTCAGTTGTAACTACTGAGAAATCAGAGTCGTCACAATCAGCTACATTTGAATCCCTGACAGCCTTCCCATTGCCATATAGGTTTGGCCTTATTTTTCAACTTTGGACAGTCTTTCTTCCAGTGCCCTTTTTCTCGGCAAAAGGCGCATTCATCTTTGCTAGGTCTGGATCTTGACTTGGATCTTCCTTTCTTTGTTCTTATATGATTTTGAGAATGACCTCTCACAACCAGTACTTCTCCTTCTCCACTCTTTTGCTTTTCTCTCTTTCTTTGTTCATAGTTGTATAAGGCAGAACAAACTTCTTTGAGAGATACATCATCATTCCCATGAAGTAGAGTGGTTTCGAGGTGCTCGTACTCATCGGGAAGTGAACTTAATAACATTAAGGCCATATCTCCATCACTAAAGGTTACGTCCATATTCTGCAAATCTGTCGCCAACTTATTAAAGCTAGTGATGTGATCATTCATTGTAGAACCAGGAACATATGTGAAGCGCAATAGTCTTTTTTTCATGTAAAGTTTACTTTGACTTTTTCTTTAAGAATTTATCCTCCGATGCATTCCACAATTTACTTGCAGAAGTTTCTTTTGTGTATGGATACTTCTGTTCTCTTGCGAGGTAAGATCTAATGGTATTACAAGCAATGCAGTTGATAATCTTCCAATCTCCTTCTCCGATATTGTCTGGTTTATTTTCTTCTATGGCAATATCTAGCCCTTGTTGAAAAATGACATCAAGAACCTCAGCTTGCCACATCTCGAAATGTCCTGACCCGTCAAAAATTTTAACTGCAAATTTCGCATTTGACATAATTCTTGTCATAAGCGAAGATGCCAATGGCATATTACTGACACCCGATGTGGACTCTTCATTTTTATTATCTCCCATTTTGCTACAGATACTATTTATTTGCTGACAGTACAGAACACCAAAGTAATTCTTTTCTAATGTGGAAGTTCAGTATGCTGCAACCACAGAGCATACTAAGATAGAACCTTGGCTCTGATACCAATTGTTGCGGAAGCCGAATATATATAGAGTGATTAAATCATAACTACCATATCTAAAAGTAGCTAATAAATAGTAAATGAGACAATAATAAAAAGAGCACCAGAAATTAACGAGGTTCGGCAAAATTTGATTTTTGCCTGGTCCTCGGACACAATCAACTCAAACTTTATTTCACTCTAAAAAATACAAGTGAAATACTACAAGAGAGAAAGAAGATTCACATGCCTTAGGAGATAAGAAGGCAAGTGAGAGATGTTTACAAATGAACAAAACTCTTGCTATTTATAGAAGGGAAATGACTTTAATAATATCATGCATGACATCATATTAAGTGTGATCATGCAATGTAAATGCATGAAAAATGCATTTGCTAATTTCTTCCAAAAAAGAGGCCTCAAATGTTCACACTAGTTCATATTAATCTTGTCAAATTTAATATTTCGGACCCCTGTCGGATAAGCTGACAATATGTTCCTTGAGACCGTTATGACTGGGATCGGTTATGACCTCGGTAAACTCGAAGGCAAATCTGATGGTTTCGATGGCTAATTTGGTAAGGCATGAACCGATCTACGGGATTTTATCATCATCTCTCGATCCCAAATTATCGTTTTGGATGATCAGTCAAATCTTGAGTTCGATTTTACCCGTATACAATATTAAACCAATTTTATTATATGCTTGAGTAATATAGCTAAGTTAGAAAGCAAAAAATTCAGTTGAACTCACATTATCCGCCTCTTCTTGCAACCGATAAACAAATAAATTTAAAAACCAATTCTCTTAAAACTAATCCAAACATTCACCAAAAGGAAAAAAAATAAATATTAAACTTATTTTGACTTGTATAATTTGAATTCTGTCGGTAGAGAAGAACATGGAGAAGTTACCATTTGCCATAGGAGAGACAGAAAAAGGATGCGGTGTGTTCAATGGAAAATGGGTTTGGGACGAGAATCGGCCTTTGTACGAAGAATCAGAGTGTCCGTACATAACGCCACAGTCGACTTGCCAAGAACATGGCAGGCCAGATAAAGACTATCAGCATTGGAGATGGCAACCTCATAGTTGCTCTCTCCCGAGGTAAAATTCTTTTATACTGTGAGTATATATATAGAAGTTCGAACTTTTATATATGAGGAATTATGTTATGACTACATAAATGACAGTTTCAATGCGACATTAATGTTGGAAACACTTCGGGGGAAGAGGATGTTGTTCGTAGGCGATTCGTTGAACAGAGGACAATATATTTCCATGATTTGTCTTGTTCATAGACTGATTCCTGAGAATGCTAAATCCATGGAAAATGATGGTAATTTCGCCATTTTCATCATTAAGGTGATCATCAGTAGAAATTTTTTAACTTATACATTAAAATTCTATGAGTACATGTGATTTAATAATACAAATATAATTAGCTTATATTTGAATTTCCAGGATTATAATGCAACGATTGAGTTCTACTGGGCACCATTTCTCCTGGAATCAAATTCTGATGTTGCAATCACACATAGGATCGTTGAAAGAGTTGTTCGAAATGGTTCAATAAACACACATGGGAAATATTGGAAAGGATCTGACATAATTGTGTTCAATACTTACCTTTGGTGGCTGAGCAATTTCAGTATCTTGTAATTTCCTTATTTCTTAAGCACTTTCTTGTTCTTTATTTACGAGTTTAACACTAAATATTTAAATTTTGAATCCGCTGCAGGCAAGGGTCTTTTGACGATGAAGTAAAAGATATAGTGGAGGTGTCCACAGAGGATGCATATCGCATGGTAATGAAGAGTATGTTGAGTTGGATTAAAGAGAATATGGATCCAAAGAAAACCAGAGTCTTTTTCACTAGCATGTCACCTTATCATGAAAGGTTGAGTAAAACAATAATCTTCCCACTTTTGGTTTAAAGAAATTAAAAGGAAAAAGAGTAAACCAAGAAAAGGAAAACATAATACAGGCTACTTGGATAATAGTTTGTTGAAAATAGAACAAAAAGTATTTGAAGTTTGAAGTTGGAAAAGAATATTTGGAATTACCAGTTAGGTCATGATCTACATATATAATTTTGGTTTATTATATCATGAGGAGTTAACCTATTTTTCTTATTTTAAAAAGAATTACTTATCCAAAAGTTTATTTGACTCAGTTTGGAAGAAATTTAAAATAAAGATCCATGTTCTTTTCATGGCTTCTCCATTGTTATATTTTCTTTTCACTATTTTTGGGATTTTTGATTTTCTTGAACCGAGGGTATATCGTAAATAGCCTCTCTATCTTTACAAGGTAGGAATACGGTCTGCGTATACACTATCCTCTCAGACACCACTTGTGAGATTATACCGGAATTGTACATTGTTATTGTTGTATACTTTTAATATGTTCAAATATCATTTGAAAATTTAGGGTTTTGCATTTTTCATTGAGAAAATAAGAGTATCTACTCTTTGTTTGGCAGGAGCATAGAATGGGGAGGTGAACCAAATAAGAATTGTTTCAATGAGACTAAAATGATAGAGGATCCAAATTACTGGGCAACAGATAGTAGAAAAAGCATAATGCAAGTGATTGGTGAAGAATTTGGTAAATCAAAAGTTCCCATCTCATTTCTTAATATCACACAGCTCTCAAGTTACAGAAAAGACGCACACTCGTCAATTTACAAGAAGCATTGGAATCCATTAACACCAAAGCAACTAGCAAACCCTTCCAGCTATGCTGATTGTGTTCATTGGTGCTTGCCTGGGATTCCAGATATTTGGAATGAACTTTTATTTGCCAAGCTTTTCTATCCTTGAGATTAATTTTACTGAAAATTGATGGCCGTTGTATTATATAATGTTCTCAAGATGGATGATTGATTTGGGAAAAACTATACAGTATAGCTGCACTAAAAAATAATAGCCAGCAAAATATATATTTTTATACATATTTTTTTATGTATTTGGCTAGCGAATGTAATATTTTTGATCGACCGGCCAAATATGTAACCTGCTCATGAATTTATGAGGTATTAAGAGAGAAATGGGGCGAGTAATTATCTAATTGAAGGGCTCATACGTACCGTTACGCGGCGCCTTCCTGAGATTCCTTAGAAGGATGATGTAAGGCTAAGCAACCGATATCCGTGTAGTTACTATCTACCAACTTGGGTCCCCTCCGTATGCTAGACGAGATTATCAATGCCGTACGGGAAAACCAATGTTAAGAGCGATTGATAGAACAAAAAAGAGAATTGAGAATGAAAGAAAGCTTGATTGTATTAATGAAAAACTATTACAAAAAAGCAACAAGGTGTCGAGGGGGAGAGATACTAGTATCGAGAATTGTTTGCTTGTTAGAAAGTTTGATTGCTTGATTCCCCCGAATAATAATTAAAAAAAATAAACTAAAGTTACAGGAATAGACATAACTAAGCTAGAGAGACATAATGGAAATACATGAAATAAAACTACTCTATATTTACAATAGAAATGACTTAGGTTCCTACAAAGAAGAAGCAGGTCCGTTAGCAGCAACCTTGTCTTTAACATCAGAGTCTGCATGCGCGACGCTGCTGGCATCTGCCTGCGGCTGGCGCTGGCGAGAGCTATCGGTGGAGAGACATATGCACAGGCGCGCTTGTCACTTGGTGCGGCCAAGACCACGGGGTCGTCCATGGCGCTAGGCGTTGGGAGGCTTGCCAGGACACCATGGGGTGCGTCCAATGGGTTATGGGACATGGCTGGAAATCCGCCCATGACATTCTATCCCACCTGAGTTGGCGACGTCCTCGGCGCCTTACTTGTAAGATAATCTTCGATCAAGCTCTTGTAGGCTTTGAGATTTGGTCTCTCTCTCTCAAGTATTCTCCTCTGCATCACACCCCTGCCATTTCACCAGGAACTCTTCCTGATATTTTCTTGAAGCATGAATCACTCGAGCTATCGGTGGAGAGACATAGGAACATGCACACTTGTCACTTGGCGCGGTTAAGACCACAGGGTCGTCCATGGCGCTAGGCGTTGGGAGGCTTGCCAGGACACCATGGGGCGCGTCCAATGGGTCATGGGACATGGCTGGAAAGCCGCCCATAATATTCTCTCCCACCTGAGTTGGCGAAGTCCTCGGCGCCTTACTTGCAAGATAATCTTCGATCAAGCTCTTGTAGGCTTTGAGATTTGTTCTCTCTCCCAAGTATTCTCCTCTGCATCACACCCCTGCCATTTCACCAGGAACTCTTGCTGATATTTTCTTGAAACATGAATCACTCGATCATCGAGAATATCTTCTACCCCGCCTTTTCCCAATTGAATTAGGGCATCGAATACTGGGTATTATGAGTTGGCTCCACGATGGATCCTCCATGTCTTCCCGAAAATGTTTCAGAAGGCTGACATGGAAGATTGGATGAATCTTCTACTAGGTTGGGGTATCCACCCGGTATGCAACTTTACCAATGCGCTTCTCTATGGACAAGGGTCCAATGTACTTTTGCAATAGGCGAGGGTCATGGACCCCTGCAAACAAGTATCACTTTGGGATTTTCACTATCACTTTGTATCCTACTTGATATTCAACAAAGCGACGATTTTGATCAGCATGCTTTTTTATCCGCTTTTGGGCTTTAACAAGATAGCTCCGCACTATCTCCGAAATTCTCTTCCATTCCTTCGAGAAGCTAGTAGATCGAGGAAATTTCGACATGTTTGAGGCATTCACAGTGTGTGGGAGTAGCAGTTGCTGTCCGATAACAATTTCAAAAGCTCTTCTATTTGTACTGGAGCTCTTTTGTGAATTGAAACCTAGTTGAGCACCATCCAGAAGCTTCACCCAATTCTTCTGCAATCCGGTAATAAAATAGCGGAGATATTCCTCCAGTATGCCATTGAACCGCTCTGTTGGCCATCAGGTTGCGGATGGAAACTTGAACTTTGGCTCAACATTGACTCGAGGCACTTGAAGAGCTGAGTCCAAAAGTTGCTAGTGAAGCGAGAGTAGCGATCACTAAAGATGTCTTTCGGCGGACCCCAATATTTGACAACATGAGAGAAGAAGAGTTGAGTTATATCTTCTGCTGATATATATTTTGGGGCTGCTATAAATGGAGCATATTTGGAAAATCGATCTACCACAACCAAGATAGTTGTAAGATCTTCGACTTTGGGCAATCCGGTAATGTAATCCAGCGACATGCTTTCCCAAGGTCTCTTTGGAACATGTAGTGGATCAAAGAGTCCCGCTTGTGTCAAGCGGTCCAACTTGTCTTTCTGGCATACTAGGCAAGTCTTCACATACTGAGCAACGTTATCTGCCATTTGAGGCCAATAATAAGCACGACACAACAACGCCATGGTGTGTTCTTCACCTGGATGGCCGGCCCACAAAGTATCATGGTATTCCATCAGAAGATTCCTTCATAGATCTCCTCCTTTAGGAATATAAGGCCGGTTCCCTTTCACCTTTAGGAACCCATCTTCCATGTATAACTGGATAGTCTTGTCCTGTCCTACCAAATCGACCAAATACTATGCAACAGGATCTTTAGTGAGTAGATCATATATCTGATATTTTATAGTGGTGGCCACTTCGCCCCCCTTAGGGTGGCGAGTAGGCACAGTGATGCTAGATCAGTTCTCCGACTAAGTGCATCAGCAACTTGGTTGGTCGTCCCACTTCGGTACTCCATGTTGAATTTTAATTCCGCTCGGAGTTCCTGCCACGTGGCCTGTCGGCCATTCAACTGTGGCTGGGTCGTGAAATGACTAACAGTTATGTTGTTTGTCTTGACCACGAATGGGGTTCCCAACAGATGTGACTCCAAAGGCGTAAACAACAGACGACATCCAATAATTCTTTTTCGTGGGCGGCATAACGCCGTTCTGGATCCTTCAATTTCCGGCTCTCGTACGCCACTGGATGCCCCTCTTGTCCCAAGACTCCACCTAGAGCATAGTTAGAGGCATCTGTTTGTACTTCAAATGGCTTGGCAAAATCAGGGATGGACAAGACGGGTCTACTAGACATAGCCGCTTTCAATGCGTTGAAGGCCTCCGCTCGCCTGGGACCCCAATCCCACGTCGTGAACTTCTTTAGGAGTTCTGTTAGCGGCATTGCAATGAGAGAGTAATTTTTCACAAACCACCGATAAAAGTTGCATAGGCCAAGGAACACCCTCAAGGCGTGGATATCCTTAGGCGGCGGCCAATCCTTGATAGCCTTAATCTTCTGTTGGTCCATCTTGATCTGCCCTTCCTCGATGACATGTCCGAGGAAGTCAATCTATTTTTGGGTGAAGGAGCTCTTGGATAGCTTCACATATAATTCGTTCTCCCGCAGTGGAGCTAGGACGTTCCGCATGTGCTCCAGGTGTTCCTCCATTGTTTTGCTATATACCATAATATCGTCCAAGTAGGCCACTATGAATTCGTCAATGTACTCTGGGAAGACTTGGTTCATTAGGGTGCAAAATGTGGCTGTAGCATTAGTCAAGATAAATAGCATGACCAGGAAGTCGTACGACCTATATCTTGTCACATAGGTCATTTTGTATTCATCTCCCTCTGCAATCCAAACTTGCCAGTAACCTATCTTCAGGTTTACTTTGGTTAACACTGTAGCACCACCCAGTCTATCAAACAAGTCTACCATTAGTGGGATACAATACTTATTCTTCACGGTGATTTTGTTTAGGCCTGATAATCCACATAGAGTCGTAAGGTTCCATCCTATTTCTTTTGAATAGCACAGGGGACCCATAAGGGGACTTGGAGGTCACAATAATCCCCGTGTCTATAATTTATGTCAACTATCTTTGAAGCTTGGCGAGTTCGAGCTGTGACATTCTGTAAGGCGCCCGGGCAGGTGACTTCGCACCTGGCACCAACTCAATCTCATGGTCCACAGTGCGCCTAGGCAGGAGTCGCTTTGGTATGTCCTGTGACATGAAGTCTTCAAACTCCCTTAGCAGTTCCTTCACAAGTGCAAGAATGTGACTCAAAGAGTGTTCAATATCTTCAATACAAAGGGTAGCCAGGAACGTAGGTTCATGTCTTTTGACTCCCTTCTTCAACTAGGCCAAGATGTTCTTTGTAACCATCTTTATGGTTGTGCATGGGATAATGAAGGGATTCACCCCGTTGGCTCCCATCATCAACAACATATATGCATACGGTACATGAATGGTGTTGGTTTTCCTAATAAATTCCAACCCAATCATCAACTCGAATTCATCTATGATTACCACATGCAAGTTGAACTTTCCTCCATAAGGACCCAGCTTCACTGGTACCCCTTTGGCTATTCCACCCACCGACTGAGGCGGTGAGTTGATAGTCTTGACAAGACCTCTGTCATTTCCCACAACTAGACTAAGGCGCTCTACTTGAGTTGAGGCTAAGTAGTTGTGAGTAGCGCCCATGTCTATCATCGCCCGAATGGGCTTACCATTAACTTTCATCTCGACGAACATCAAGGTCTTCTCTTGGTTAAGAGGAGGCCCCTCATCCACCTTCTTTTTCCCTTTCTTGGTGGTTGGGCATGTGTCCTTCTTCTTATGGATACCGATACTGGTTCCTACTAAGGCCTCAGAAATAGAACAAACAAGTGCGTTGAAGACATCTATTGGTTCTGTCTGGTTAGCATCATCTGTGTCGTCATCCATCCCATCATCAAAAGTTTGATGGGCATTCATTGTTCCTGTGGGCGTTCATTGTTCTAATGTGGCCCGCCACAATGACGACATCCTGAATGGGGCTTCCTCTCCCGATCATTATTGTGAGACGCAACACTATTGCTGCCTGAGGAAGGAGTCTTAGAT